GTTGGTTTGAGTGGTAACAAGCAACATTATTATCCTGTCTGACAAGATGGATAGGCGTGGCATATATGTAACCCAGAACACTGTTATTAGGACAAAACAACAATCCATATTAGTTGCAACGTCTTGTGTACAATGCTTACGAACAATCTATATTAGTAACACTGTCTTGTGACTACCACTTATGAAAAATCCAAGCTTGTCTAATTTATGAGAGTATATGTATACATATATTGTTTTAATTACATGTATACATATACTATCCCACAAGATTTTAGCTAATGTGTAATAGTTTTGATTTTCAATCAACATTTAATTTAATGCAATTGCACCCACAGTATACTATAACAAAAATACAATTTGTATTGAAGATGAGTTCACTTTTTGTGGTTGTGATGTGCATATTTACAGCGTTTATATATATATATAAGGTATTTTAATCATAGTTTTGATGGTGTCTGAATAATTTACCTACCTTTATTCTTATCAATACATTGCATGCTATTACACACAACTGTAACTGTATAAACTGATGAATCAAGACACAGACATACAGTAAATTTATTGGGCTTCTAAGCATTCAGAGCTTCAAGCCTTGTTGTTATCGTTCTGATTTCCATAATCATTGTGTTGATGCATACAGATGGGAATTAGTAAACCAGACTTCAAAATGGCGATCGGTACAATCGTTTAAGAGTTTCCTTGTTTTAAAATTCTGTATTGCTTCTCACTCAGCCAGTTTTTGTTAACACTACTAGTCAAACAAGTTGCACAATATTATGTACTATTTCAGCTCATTCATTTAGCAGCCCTCGAGAAGTTGATTAAAAGATCAAATTATGATGAATTGTGGGAATTTTTTTTATAGAATTGTAGCTAAAGTATGAGTAGATTATGTTGGCAGTTGCTTGACCTTCAGAAATCGGCCATTTTTCAAAGATGGACATCTTGTGATGCCTAATTTATTGAAAATGTGAACATACTTTTGTATAAATGTTGTTATTGAGATATGATGTAGAGTTCTTTGCAATATATTAGCGACTCTAATGAGGGAACATTACTGGCCACCCAGGAATCCAGTATGGTGGTCATTTTTCAATATAACTGCCTAATATGCAACAT